ATTCTCATCCTCACACCCAGCAGAACCGATGCCCACACTGCAAATCTTCTGCCATCATCCAGCCTGTTCATGGCTGACCAAAAACATACAAATGTACCTTCAGCTTGAGCAGTGTCAACATGCTGCAGACAAATGACATACAAACTAGAGTGACAGAAGCCAACCAAGACTGAAAAATGTCCAAAGCATATAAACACATTCAAGTCAAAATGACTGAAATTAATGAAAATAATCTTATTACAATTTTAATACTTTTATTTGCAAATCTAAATTAGAAAGAAAAAACAATTTTATTTCAATTTAGAAATCTAAATTGAAATTGAAAATGTTGTGATTTCAATTTAGAAATCTAAATTGAAATGACAAATGTCCTGATTTCAATTTAGAAATCTAAATTGAAATGAAAAATGTCCTGATTTCAATTTAGAAATCTAAATTAAAATGAAATCACATTTCATTCCAGTTCAAACATCTATAGTCGATTGACAGCTTGAACTGCTAAGCTCTCTTTTCATATCCTGCATGATATCAAAGTGTCATTCATGTGGGCCAGGATCAGTCCAATCTGGCCAGCCATGCATCTCAACCTTCTCCTTGATGGCTGCCATGATGAGCTTCATCTTCTTGTTCTGACAATATGTTGACAACATCTTCTTAGCTCTTGGGCTCTCATGATTACACCAGGCCAGTAGAAGAAGCCCCATCTTCATAGCCCATCCATTCCATGCTCGAACTTCATCATTCTTCTGATTCTTTGGTTCCTGTAGCAACCCAAAACAAACATATTTCTTAACCACTTTATGTCCTTACAACATACCATTATTTGCTGTTTACACAAATGCTACTTACAAAAAATTGCTTCAAACACTGAACAGTGGTTCCTGCCTGCTTGGTAAGTATGCCACCATCACCATAGAGCTGCTTCCACATGTCTTGTGGAGAGGAAATCAATTTAGGTCGACTTCCACAAGGTTGACTGCCCTGCTCCTGCTGTAGTGGCACCTGGTCTGGACTAACTGTAGTGTAGTCTTTCTGGTTCTTGGACTCCTCAGTCCCTTGTGTGGCATCACTTGTTGCTGCCATTCCTTGGGTCTTGCTGTTGTGCGACACAGATTTGTTGGCTGTCTCACTCTCTTCAGCCACCTCCTTCTTTTGCACTGTGTGTTCAGTGGTCCCAACTGGTCGAGCTTTTGGAAGAGGAGAACTTTGCACAGGAGTGCTGGAAGGCATGTGCCAAGGAGCATTGGTGAACTCATGCTCACTCACTGGTTCACCAGGTTGTTCATCTTTCTTCTCCAGGCCACTCCCAGAGTCTGCTTCCTGCTTGAGCTGCACCATGTAGTCCAAGGCCTGAGGTCAAGGGATACAGTACAATTGATTTAACACACATGACTGTTTGTCAAAAAAAAGCTAAACAGTGTACACTGGTCAATGGCCAAGTGGCACTCATATCCTGCTGATTTAAAACACATAACTGTTTGTCAAAAAAACTAAACAGCGTACACTGGTCAATGGCCAAGTGGCACTCATATCCTGCTCCTGCTGTGTAAAATGACTCTGCAAGAGTCTGGTCACATCTGCAACTAGAGCATCATCAGGCATCGAAGGGTCCTGCAAGCTTTGCATACCAGTGCAGCAAACACAAGTTTGAACAACAGACCATACACTACACTTGGGTTGGTTGGTTGGTCCAACAAATCTACAAGCTCATGGTCCTCATCATCCAAGTTGGCCCAAGCATCCCATCCCTTCTTTGGCCTCTTCTTTTCAGAGGTCTCTGCAGAAGGAGTGTCCCTCTTCATCTCTATGGAAAAAGCTAGTGCAGCTAGTGCTTGAGCATGGATCAAACAGAATAAGGGCATTGTAAGAAACAACTCTCTTAAGCCACAAAATGGCTGAACAAACTTTCAAAGTTGGCAAAGCAACTAAAGCCAAAACATGGCTGAAACACACAAACAAAGCCAAACCAAACCTGATAGCCAAAAAAAGGCTGAACAAAACAATCTAGCCAACATTTGGCTGAAAAAAACAAAACATATAGTAGAGGAAAGCAAGCCACACAAAGGCTAAACACATATGAAATCAAAGCCAAGGACTATTGACCCTGCACAAAACCTTGCAGATGCAATTGTTTTATCACACACATGCCAGGCTTGCTTTGGTGTGTTTGTACACAAAGTCTCACAGCTGGCATCTATGTGCCTTCTTTGCCTTTCTTGGCAGTCAGTGCTGCAGAAACATCTGTCTCTTTGAGAAGAGTTGTCTGCTATTGGTTATGTCTTCCTTGCCTTCTTGGCAGGTGGTGTGGCAGAAACATCTTTCCCCTTGAGCAGGGGTGTCTGCTCTGCAACCTGCTTGGGGTTCTCCAAGACTGGAATGATTAGATCTTTGTAGGTCTTCCAAATGACCTGAAGGTTGGCTTCCTGCTCATCTTCAGTGGCCTTGACATAGAAGTATGCACACACAACTCCTGCCTCTTCACTCTTGATGGGGTTGTAGGCCTTGAAGCCTTGCACCTGGTAGGCTACCCCCTTGAATTTGACCAGGATTGCACCCTTTGCTAAGAGGTCATCTGTCTTGTGTTGGTCCTTGACCTTTGCCAAAGTTCCCACAGGGTAAAGCTGCAGCTCTTTCACCTTGAGCTTCCTCAAGGCAAGCAAGCCATTGGGAAACTTTGTGAATGCCACCATGTCCACATTTGCCTTGTTGTTCTCTTTGTAAGCCTCTGCCAACAAATAGCTTGCACACATTTTGTCCCACTCATCCAAAACTAGTGGGCAAGCCTCAGGAAGTCGATCCTTGATAACATCTCTGGGGCAAAGCTGGCACATTTCTTTCTTAGTGCTCTTCCAATCCTTCAGCTCTTCCACGCTGGCCACAACTTCAAGAGTCTCACCAAACAATGGAACATGCTTGAAGACACCACAACCATCCTTGATGCCCTCCAATGCAAATACCTGCTCCTTGTAGTCCTTGTGCATGTAGTTCTTTCCAACACTGATGTGGCTGTTCTGCAACATAGCTACTTCATCTGGGCTTGCTTTGAGCAAATCCTTTACTTTGTCAGCATCAGTCGCTTTGACAGCTGCAACACTTGAGCTTGGCACATGTTCACCCCCTTCAAGGTCAACAGAAAGCTCTTCTACAATAGCTTGGAATGAATCAAAGGACAGTCCATCTCTGCTAAACTTCTCAAACTTCTCTTTCTGCAATGCATGCAGGACAAGCCGCACACAAAACTTACCAAAGCTCATTTCACCCAGGGCTTTGTTTGCCACCTTCTGGCATGAAGCCCAGCCCTGGGAAAGAAGGTCTTCCATGGCCAAGGTTGTGCTCTTGCCCTTCAACTTGTCAAAGTCTGATTTGAAGACAAGTTTTGATATTCCATCCTGGTGGCGCTTTGAGCTGAGAATTGTTGCCAATAAGGCAATGCGAAGGAAGTTGAGCTGGCATCCAGGCAACCTGAAATTGTAGTGGGCAAGCAAGTTGGTGTTTTCCTCACCAACCAAAAGGGAATGGCCAGAAGCTTTGCCTTGGCCAAGCAAGCCAAAAGAGACTCTGTTGAAGATATGCCACAAACAATCACTCAAATACATTAAACATTGTTGCCACAAGCCAAGTCACAGAACCCGTCCAACCAGAGCAGCATTGGGAAGGTGTCCCCTCCTGAGTAGAGGCGCATGAACTGTGCACAGTCATCTATGTATGCTTTGCAAGAAGGGCTGCTTTGGCAAACAGCTTGAACTGCATCTTGCATCCTCATGCCACTTCTGTGTAGGGCAGCAAGTTCCATCATTGCCTCCAGCTCATTGGTCAAGATGGTGTTGCTGTTGTGTGCATTCATGCTCATGGAGCAAAAAGCAGGCAAGTCTGGAAACATCACAGCTGCCTCTGCTTTCAACATTGTCCACTGCCAGCCAGATTCCACCAATGCCTTGATCTCTGGTGTCATGTGGAGCTGTGTTCCATCTGCCTTGGTGCACCCATGGTCAAGGGCCCTGCAAAACTGGTTGAAGTGGGAGCTAGCTAAACTCAAGAACCTCTCCCCACCTTGGAGAGGTGCAAGCATCCCTTTGCTTTGGCCAATCATCTGCTGATTGGCTCTCAATTGCTTTGACCTCTCATCAGGTCCAACTGCAAGCTCAATCCCCAAAGAATTGGGTGGTAACAAGTCTTTCTTCAAGCCACTTTGCAGCACCTGAGTGCCCTTCAAATGCACATTGTGTGCGTTGCACATGGAAGTCCCTCTGTTCTCAGGGTGACACATGATCTCTCTTGGAGAAATCATGGCTTTGTATGCCAAGCCCACCTTCTCCAAAGAAAGCAGGATCTTCTCCAGCTTCACATGAACACCAGTAGTGTTGGCTGGGTCGAGGAGCTCTTTGATTTCCTCTTGGACATCTGCAGGCACAGCCATGGCTCTATCACCCAAACTGAGGTGGCTGATCTTTTGGAAACTGTTCCCCATATATGTGTTGCTCATGTTCTGCTATAGCTACTATTGGGTTCGCAACCTTGTACCATTTGGCTGAAATGCTGGTAGCACTCTTGCATCAGCCTCACACTGAAAAAGGCTTTGAAGCCTTTTATGGCAGCAACCATAGAGTAGGTAAACTTGTTGTTGTAAACATAGCAAGCATATCCATTCATGCAAACATAGCCAACATGGCTGAAACACAACATAGCCAACATGGCTGAAAAAACCAACAAAGCCAAAATGGCTGAAACACAGCATAGCCAAAATGGCTGAAACACAACATAAAGCCAACATGGCTGAAAAAACAACATAAAGCCAACATGGCTAAAAAAACTAGCATTGCTGAAAAAGCCAACATGGCTGAAGCACAAAGCCACCATGGCTGAAGAACAACAAAAACAAAACAAAGCCACCATGGCTGAAGAGTAAAGAGGAACAAAGCACTTGGCTGGCCTTTTTGCTCAAGCATCCATTGTTGCAAGTGTCTTATTGGCACATCTCACTCTTCTACATCTGAGTCTTCTATCTCATTGTTGGCATCCCTTTTGAATTTCCCACTCTTGTCATACTTCCTTTTGGAAGTCAAGAGCTGGCAGTCTGGCTCCAAGAACAGAATCACTGCCTGCAGCTGTATGGGATCCAGGCACACCTGTAGATCTGCTGCAGTGCCCGTGAACCTGGCCTGAGGCCGAATAAAACCTGGCCTGAGGCCAACGCCAACATGAATCGAGTGTTCAGTTGCCTGCATCATCAGCAGACATGAACCCCTCAGAGGCATCACTATATATATGATGCCTCTATGCGGGAGCGCAGGGGGCTGAAACGCTCACAAAAGAAGTAGCACACAGTGCACCAGCCAATCAGCGCAAACACACATAGAGCTGCAAACCATGGCGTCTCCAAGCAAATGCACTTGCACATTGCAAAAGCATAGCGGTGGTCATGAAAACACATTGGATTGAAATCCTGAATGTCCAGTGTGGGAACATACCTGACCTCTTCTGCCATGGAAGAAAACACATCCTGTCATGGTTCTAATACCCTTCTTGGACCAGAGTCTAGAAGCGGTAGCACAGCAGCAACAAAACACACAAATGCAAACAACTTTCAATAAATTGTTTCCACAAAAGAAAACAATTAAAACAATTGTCAGAACAATTGTTGAAACAATTTCCAACCTCAAAAGAATATTTCGCTTGTTTTTTTGGCGTCCCCATCACCGGAGGTTTTGAAAACATTTAACGAGTAAGGTTTCCTTGTTCTGGATGAGCTCTTTCAGCTGCAAGCTGAAATTATCCAAGCAACAATCCCTCTCACCAAAGAATTGGCGCGCCTTTTCTTGTTGGAGTTCCGGGCTCAAGGCTGGCAACTCGGCCAGTGGCCATGGGTAGCGGCCCCAAGGCTCAAGAAGCTTCCGCCAAAGCTGGCCCAAAATTGTTAGAAGACAACGCCTGGTTGTGCGCAATCTTTCTGCTCTCCAAGTCAGCACAGGACCATAAAGCCCAACCAGTGGAATCCAAGCTGGAACCTGGACAGTGTCTGCTGTTTCAAGAAGCAGGTCACACAGCTCCAAGCTGGCAGCACTTGCAACACTGCGAAAAGAAGCCGCCAACAATCGGAGCAAAGCAGCGCGGCTTTTGTGCCTGAAGCTCGGACCAGGCCCGTGGCCGCTCGGACGAGGCCTGTGGCCGCTCTGGGCACGTCTGGGCACACAAGGCCTGTGGCCACCCCCATATCGCCTAGCAATGTCAGCAAGCTGATCAGCATTCATCACTTCTTTGGCTCTTTGGGTGGGGTGAAATCCACTGGGCCCAACCTTTGCCTCTTGGCCTTAGGCTCTGGCGAGGGAGTGCCCAAGAAGTCACATTCGCAATCCCGAGCCAGTAGGTGTGTCCGTGCTGCATCACTTGGCTGCAGGTAGGGTGTAAACATGTCCATCAAGCAGAACCAACAATACAAGTATGTCATGGCAACGTTGCGGCGCGCTTGGGCTGTTGTGGCTTGAAAGCTTGGTGGCAGCATGGAGTGTTCAAATCGTTGAAGTGAAGAGGTTTTCAGAGGCGAGCAAACTGTTTACTAGCCTATGACTAAGGAACAAACTGTTTGAACAAACAAAAAGTCTACAGCAACCTTTTTCTCAAGGTTCAATACATCATATGTTTCAAACAGTTTAACAATGTTGTATACAATGTTATAAACAATGTTTCGAACGAAAACAATGTTATAAACAAAGTTTTGAACAATGTAACAATGTAACAATGTTATAAACAATGCTTTAAACAATATAACAATCTTTTAAACAATGTAACAATGTTATAAACAATGTTTTAAACAATATAACAATGTTTTAAACAATGCTATAAACAAAACAACAATGTTGTAAACAATGTTTTAAACAATATAACAATATTATAAACAATGTTTTAAACAATACAACAATGTTATAAACAATGTTTTTAACAATAAAACAATATTATAAACAATGTTTGAAACAACATAACAATGTTATAAACAATGTTTTAAACAATTAAACAATTGCAAAAACAATGTAAGAATGTTTCGCTTGGTTTTCAAAGTGTTCCCGCCACAGTGGGTTCTGAGAACATCTAAGCAATAGACGATATGGTTGCTTGTTGCTTTTGTCCTTGAGCACAACTTGAATGACACTCAAATTAAAAAGTGCTGACATCACCAAAACAAAAACAGAGCTAAACTTGCCGATGTGTTGGCAATCTCCAAAGGAAGAAGACAGCAATCACCATTTTCAGCTGGCAAGTAGTTCGCTGATGGCCTTGGCGTAGCCTGGCAGCTGAGAGGACAAAGCACTCCACAATTTTTACAAAGAAACCTACAGAAAAACAAAACTCCTCTTGATCCTTCATCAACTTGGAGCCCTGGGACAAGTAAGTAGGTGGTTCCACCCCTCTCCAGGTGGTGCAGACTTCCTCCATCAAAAGATTTCAAGTGGATCCAGTAGATGTAGACCGTTGATGAATACAACTCCCGCCCACCAGAAAGGTTTACATCTTCATATGGAGGATTGTATTACATTACCACTGTGGGATGTGATTCATGTGGAGGATTGTATCAATCAACAGTCTACATTACCACCATGGGACTCACAGGGACTTGGTGGAGGCAGTCTTCATCTGTCCCGTCTCCCAGGGAGACGATTCCATCGTGTGGAGAAGTCCATGTCTTCGACCGACCTGGGAGTGCCCAAGGACTGAAGCACTTCATGTGAATCAGCCTGGTTCACTGCCACGGTGAGAGCAAGCAAAAGACCATTCCTTCCCCAAATGTGTTCGAGTTCACTACATTGAGGCAAACATCCAACTCAAGTGAGCAACTCACAGGTCTAAGCAGCAACAGTTTGGGAGGACCTGCAAATGGAGGGTAGACGATCATGATGAACACAGGGTTCCTATGGATCTTTAAATCCACCTTGTTGAGTCGAGCGTTTCCCTGTGAGCCACATGGAGAAAGGCCGTAGAAAGGGCCGCCGCCTTCGGTGGGCAAGACTTGACCTTGATCCAGGCGCTGCAGATCTTTGTCCTGCGAGTTACGAACCAAGGCTGCATATAGTCTGTGATGTTGGTTAGTGGGGTATTTAATTGGAGGTGTCCAGTCTCATGGATTGTTCTGGGGGTGAACCCCCTGCCTCAACCCCTGGGTTAGTGCATCAGTTCACGGGATGGTTGTTGCGATCCAGGTTGCCATCCCATACCACAGGAAGCATCACAGCTTGGGGGACAATGGGATCAAGAAATCTTTAATAACAAAAGCCCAGCAAAGATAAAGAAAGTCATAAACGTATGCACCATTAATTTTATTGAGGTATTTCTTATTAATTAACCATCACATGGTCTTTTCGGTGAGAGCGGCACCTGTTTGGTACAGAATGCGACGGGAACGGAGCGGACCGAGTGCGTCGTCACGGATGTTTTGTGACGGACGTGCCGTCGTTACGAGTACGTCAAGGTTTAAGGGACCACAGCACCTAAGAAGCATTGAAAAGAGAATGGCTAGACCACATGTTGTGATAGGTTGTGCGCCCACCCTAAACAGATCCCTCCAACTGATCATCATTATCACCATTCAATTGACACCAATCAAACAACATGAGCTGGAAAAGATGTTGAAGAAAAGACGACTTCTCAACTTTATGGCTCAACCCCTTACTGGTTGGCGGTTGGTGAACGCTGAACCATTCAAATGAATCTAGTGTATCGCTTGGGTCTATCCTATTACAGTACCTGTAACAGTGGATGATGATGGTTAGGTTGCAGGCCTTGTTCGAAAATGATGATAGGACAAACCCAGATCAAGACCTCACCAGCGATCAAGACCTCACATCCCAGTATATGCCTATATCACACATATATAGTGTTTACTTTGCCACCGATCAAGACCTCACCAGCGAGCAGAACCCCCATCCGCGCTCCACGGCATCCACTATGGCAGCGTCTGCCGCGCTACAGGCCTGGTGTCCCACAACAACACAAGGAATCCAATGGCGTTTTGTAGTGACCCTCCTGTCAGTACCCTTCACCAACTTCCAACTTCGCAAACATGCGGCATTACCCATCATCGGACAGTGAACACATATAGGAAACGTTACGTTTTGTGGAAACGGCCTTGCTCTGAACGCCGGCGGATGGCCTGGCTGGGCCCTGGGGGGAGGACCACCGTCCCTGGTGACGTTTGGACCGTCCTGGGAGTCAAACAAAGTGGTTTCAGAGTGGATGACACAGACCCGGAATGTCCTTAAGATGGGGGTATGATGGGGGTCTATATATAGAGCACTTTAGGGGGATTGTGCCATCTACATCTACTCTGAAACCACTGTATAGTCCAAATTGCAGCAAGGTCGGAACTCCTCACGAATCTCACAAATTCACCATTCTGGTACATTGCAGGTCATGATCAGGTTTCGCTATAACTTCTTGGATACCATATAGCCATATAGTCATACAGTCGGTGAACTCACTCTGAGTGAAAGTTCACAATACCCAAGCCAAGAGTTTTAAGCAGGGTGACTCTTAAGGAGGGTATTTCTATGTGTTGTTTTCTTCCCCGTGAGGTTGGCGTCTCCAACACTTTTTGCAACCTCCTTTCAAACGGTCAACGGCTTCACCTCCCAATCAGGAAACCTTAATAGCATCATGATAGCATAATAGCTGCATAGTTGAAATGGAATCTGTGCTGAAAACACCTCATGACTGAGGGTTCAAACAACACTCCTTGGCAAAATATATGGAACAACGCACCGGTGGGTGGATTTTTTGGGTTCCAATGTGTTGGTACGACGCAAAAGCATCATTTGGACCCATTCTGCATCACTGGTAGCCCGGGAGTGCTTAGAGTCCGGCAGTCCACCCTCGGCCAAGCATATAGCGCCTAGGAAGTTTCAGCAGGTCGGGAGGTTTCTGGGACCTGGCGAACCAACGGCGTGACAAACAACGACGACTCCTACTAGGACGACTTCAAATCCAACACAGTTGAAGGTGCTTGGGACGACTTGGTTTTGTTTACTGCATATGTATGTAACTTATATAATTATATATGCATAATTTTTTAGCTATACTTTTACTTATATATTATAATTTGTGTTTGTGGTTGGGATTCACACACTTTTGTGGTATTGAAGGTGCACAACAGGATGGGCTTCTCTTCACGGGTCTGGCACGGAGCTTCCTCTTGGCATAGCCCAGTTGGTTCAATGTTGGTTTGAGTCGTTCAAGAAAGAGTACCTGCACCTTCAAGGGGTGTCCAATGAAGGTCCCTTAGAAGTGTAGGGGCTTCCATTGGTGACCCCTTTGAAGGTGCTGGTAGAGTCGTTGAAGTTCTATTCTGACAAATTGCTCACCGGCCCCTGAAGACTGGATTGCTAGGTCGTCAAAGATCATTTCTTTTCATGGATGTAACACACGGTGCCATGAGTGCCACGTGCAAGCACGGTGATTCCTCCAAATGGGATTGGTCAATCCTTCCACTGTCGTCTTGACCCGTGAAACGCCCCTTGCATTGGGTACACACGCCGTTTTATCGCAAGTCACAAGTCTTCACAAGTCTCCAAGTAACTGCAACGAGCGCAGGTTTAAGTCATCGTAAGTCTCTGAGACCTCTGCGTCTCGCTCTCCGAGCGACATGGTTTCCAAGGAGGCCAAGGGTTCCCAGGACATGCAGCCGGAGCACATGTAGTCACAGCGCGCCAAGGTGTAGTGAGCCAGGAAGGTGGTCATTGGGAAATCCTTGGCGGCAGCATTGGTTGGGGCATGTCTTTTTTCGTTATGAGGCTTCTGATCAATGTTAGTTGCAACCAGTTGGAGGCCCTAATAGAAACCTTGCCTGTGCTAGTTATCTATATATATAGTAATAACCCAACCCAAAAAAATGGATGTGCCCCACGAGGGTGCTGCGATGACTAAAGGACTCCAGTAAGGACTGAAGAAGCATGGAAGAAATCCCGTATTTGTGACTCAACAGATCCTGCACTTATTTATGACATTCGTGATCGTAGCTTGCCGAGTCCACCATAGTCCACATGCACACAAATTAAAGAAGAAGGCATTTGGCCCATCATAACAAGGAGATTAGAGTCACTACATTTGGAAGTGGAGCAAATATCAAAATCAGGATGCCAGGTCCAGTTTTATGTTTGTTCAATTGAGCATATCTGGTCTTAATGAAACATGAGAGTGGAACCTAGGTGGGAGGAAGGCTGTTGACACCCAAGAAGGGGTGGTGCCAACAAGTAGACGTTGATCAGCAAACCCTAGACCCTGAATTACACAAACGCTTCCAGAAGTCAGCATACCATACTCCCATACGGACATCTACTCTCATACATCAGGACTGCGGAGGCCGCGCATCTGTGGGTTCCGGGCGCCCCCGGTCCCAAAGTCCTCCATGGCCTTTAGCAACTGGACCTCGGAAAGTCTCCAAGTGCTCGCCCATTGTCTGGAAACCCAGGTGAAGGGGAGAAAAATATACACAGGATCCTTTGGAATCGTGATCCTTGTGGAATCTGTTGAACATTTGTGAGACATACTGGACTGTGTTGTACACAGCAAAACTTATGCCTTGTCAAATATCCTACAATGCACTAATTAATGCCCTGGAAACAAAAACACGTCCAGTTCACTAATGTTGACTGTTGATTACTATATTGTGCGCGTATCCTATTCCCTGTGCAGTGGAATGGTTAGGTTGCGGTTGCATGCCTTTCCCATCCTTTCCCTAAATTAGTGATAATTGATTACCGACTGTTACAGGTAAGTTCAGACACCCCCAAACTATACTTCAACCCAACCGTCTACATTCAAACGCATCATCCAAATCATCACTCCATCCGTCAGGTTGTTTGCGAGCTGAGTGGCGTGGTAGAACTCCAAAAGTTCAGGTTCCTTGGGGCGAGGAGGAAACGCGGGGCAATGGGGAATGACCCTCCAGTAAACCGGTCCAACAAACATGGCAAAGCTTGTCAGGAAAATAGTATCGAGATACATGGAGATCGTGGAACAAACATTACAAACCATTAAGAATAATCAAATTCTGCCTACTTGTCTTACATCCCGTTGTCCGTGTCCACTGGGACATTGAGGATGCCGGGCGTCCATCGGTAGCAAGTTCATCCGCAGATCGGGGAACAAAAAGTTCGCCAAATCCACCTAGGCCAAACCGCACGCATCGAAACCGTGCGGACGGAGAATCCCCGGACCGGACAAAGGCTGGCCGGGCGGACGGAGAATCGTGTGAAACTTCTTTGCGCAAACAAAACATGGAGATGTGTACCAGGACCATCCAAGGGGTGTCCAATGGACTACCCCACACTACCTACTACAGGCTTCCATTGGGCACCCCTTGGATGGTCCAGGTATATAGGTGAGATCCAACAAGTCTGTCAGCAGTGAGGTCCTATCTGAATAAGTTTTGGAAGAGGCACCGAGAAAGGGATATGCACTGAGAAAGGGATATGCTATATGTAGAATTACATGCCAATAGACACGGACAGCTGCTGCCCGTTCACCCACCTGAAATATGTTTATCAACAATATCTCGAGGAGGATCCGTAAAGATAAACCCCAGCTTGTACTTTCTGAACCTGCCCTTGGGACATCACACGGCCCGGGTCCTGAGTCTGGCCATCGGCAAGTGAGAGACTGCAAGAACATCTGATGCATGTCAACCATCCTGTCATATTGTCTTTGTGGAGAAGCCACCCCAATAAACGCTTAGAGAAAAACTACATGGAAACCATCGGAAACCGAATGGCAAGCATCCTGGACACTGGATGTCACTGGTTGACCTACCACATGAATCATCTAAAGGCCAGGTCACCTACCAGGGTTTGGGAGGATGATTCACACACCCATCGAGCGAGTCAAGTATATGTAGCGATCCTTTTGAATCGAGATGAGTTGCAAGTAGCATTGACAACATTGGCCGGCTCTGTCTGTGAAAAGCTCACAACTGGTATTGAATCACATAGCTGGGATATGCCTGTTCCATCTGGCAAATCACAAACTCCTGATGCAGCTGGGCTGCATTGTGATGTCCCTTGATCGGACCGGGATTGACCACAATGGAATCATATGTCGCCCCGGACGTGCCATCTCTCACCGGTGGCCTCCGCTGATGGTACCGGGTTTCCTGGCTGTAGTACTTGTCGCCTAGGGCCACACGGGCCAAAATCAAAGTTCTTTCTCTCTTGCAGCCACAGCCAGCTGTACGACAGTTGCATGTGTATTGATGGGATTTGCACGCGGCAGATGCGAAATAGACCCCCTCGCCATACATACAACGATAGCATGTCCGATGGTCGAAGCCATTCAGAACTATAGAGTTTGCGTTGTCCCAACTTGTGCCATGCAGGAGAATCTTCTCATCCACATCTAGGGCCAACGGCTCACCACAGTCAAACACTGATTGGTTCTTGGTCAAGACCCCTGCACCACAAACGTCCAGGTCCAAATCTGCAGGGGTGACATTCACATTGTGACTTGCAAGCCCCTTCCGCAAAGCTTCCCGCCTCAACTTATAAGCCTGCCAAAGCCTCAAGTTTTCAATGCGGTGCACTGACTTGATGGTTGAGGTCCAAATCCAAGAGCAGCCTGGCTTGTGGCCGGCTGATTGTAGGATTTCCTGCACTTGGCTGTAAATGCGAGGATCAGTCTCTTCGACGTAGAATTGTCGAAGCTCATCCGTCTGTTGCAACAAGCAAGCAGGGGTGGAGACCCACTGCTTTGGCACGTCGGGCAAAATCCGAATCTGGCGAACTTTGTTGGTGTCACCTCGCTTTTGCTGCATCAGCTCGAAATCAACTTCACGGGCGACCCCTGCTGAATTGATGGTCCTGCAACGATTGCCCGAGCTTGGATCACGAAGGTAGGCCAAATAGGCCTGATGCATCTGATCATTCGCTTCAGGCGGTACAGCGTGCCAGCATCCGTTCTCTTCATATTGCCAGCATGCACCACAACTGCTGGCCATGCTGGAAATACGCCTTTGCTCTGCCAATCGCGAGGTCAGCTGCTCAATCTCCCTTTCAGCCGACTTCAGTTTCTCTCGCTCAACCTCAATCTGCTTCTCAGTAGCATGAAGCTTCTCTTCTCCAGCTTCAACCTTCTTCTCGGCAGCGTGAAGCTTCTCGTGTCCAGCCTCCACCTGCTTCTGCGCTGCTTGGAGCTTCTCTCGCTCGCTGGCCAGAACACGCTGGAGGCTTTGACATTCTCCTGAAATGATTTGTTCAACAAAAACAAACATGAACAAACACTTGCTATGAGACTATTCCCAAGAAACATTGATGAACATGCTCTGTCGGCCGACAGGAACACTTTCTGCAACATCACCGAGTCTCCTGCTTTGCCTTCTAAAGATTGGACAGCGTCTCTAAACTTTTGATCAGCTGCTTCCCGCAGGCCCCTTTCACTGCAAAGTGCCTGCTCAAGACGTGTGACCTTATCTTGCAAGTCTGCAATCTGCTTGTCGACCATCTGACCAATCGTAAGCCCTTTCTCGGCATCACTCGTCAAACACCTTGTGGGATGTGCACCGAACACAAAGACATGCACACATAGAAATCTTTGTCACTCTATACATATAATATAATATAATATATAGTACACAGATGTACACAGTATTATACAAATCAATCTATAAACAAACACAGACAACAATACAACCACAACTCCGCCGCAGCGACTTTTGGAACTGCGCACTGACTGTGCACCGGCTAGCCGTGAGTCCCCTACAAATATTCTGACTGTGCCCAGAAACTATGCCAATGCTATCATAAATGGTCAAACCGCAAAATTCTAGAGCTGGGTCTCATCTATCCAAACGGTGTACTGTAGTCCCCAAACGTCTAATTTAGAGGTGGCCATCGATCTAATTGTATACTCGAAAACATACTTTGAGTGTCCATGTCTTGGTGGGACTCTTTTTGTGCAAAGCAAATGATCGACAATCCCACAGGCCTTTGTTCTCTTGGTGGAGCTGCCTTTGGTATTTCGTCTGTGCTCTCCGCCTTCACCTTCACCCTTTGCACTGTCCTGGAGCGCGATCGACTGCTGGAGCTGCTGTACCTCAACTGATCCGAAGGCATCAGAGCTGCTAACAGGTCCATCTTCCCTCATCTTCCCCTCCTTAAGAAGGGATCTGTTCTTTCAGCGCTGAAGACCACCAGTCCCTTGAAATGTGGCAGAACTGGCGCTGGGGCGGAAGGCCCAGTACGGAGCTCCGTTCTTCGTTCGATGCGACGGGAGGGGCCCCGCACAAAACCACCCCCATGCCCGAAAACGCCGTGTATATCTGGTTTGTCATGGAGGCGGCCTTGAGAACAGTGAGGCAACCAAGTCTAGGAAGACTGAGACTCCTTGCATTCCCGAACTGCAAGGGCACTAGACTTGTCTTTGCCAGCTTTGACCAAGTGCAACAAGGACATTCGCAATTTCAATTCAAAGTGGTATGCAAAAGTGACAACCACCAACCATCCTGGAGAAAAACAAACATGGGTGAGTGATGGTATGTATATTTATATTACTTTAACTCCGTCCGTTTCAAATATACAATGTACTGTAAAGTGCCAATGCATATGTTTAGATCTTTCATGTTTGTGGATTTTGTAGGGAACAAACCGGCAACAAATTCAATCGCTACACTACTGGTCATTAACGTGGAAACTAAAACTTGTTCTGACTGGGGAGGACTGAGATACTCGTAGGAATATGAACTGCTGCTTGAGCTCCGCGACCTTCGAGAACCGCGACCTTCGGCGAGGTCCTCACTGCTATCGGGTGGACCAAAGACCACCTACATCTGAACTCCCTCAAATATAGCTATGGCAAGGCCAGGAGTGAAATCATACTTCCTTCCTGTCCTTCAACACCAATCTAGCTCCAGCAGCCCATATCAGAACTCACATGAACTCATTGTCACTTGGGGGACTTTGTGTGGAGTGACCGGCAATCTCGCATACTTTAATGATGAGTCCTCCTTAGGGATTGCTCAATCTTCTGCTTGTATTAAGAGACTACAACATGAACATACTCATTTAGGAAGGAGAAAACTCTCTACACTGACACACAGCTTTCGGAGGCTGAGGCACTCACCTCTGGCGCTTTCAAACCTGTTTGGAACCCTTTCGGAGGTGCCGACCCGGTGGCGCTGCTGCATGCGCGACCTCGCAGCGGTCGAGCCGAGAGTCCTTGGATCTGGAGTCGTCTGGATCAGCCGTTGCTTTAGGCGTTGCAGCTGGCACGATCGCTTCAGGCACGGGCTCGGTGTCCGGCTTCGGTGGAGAAGCGGTGCCTGACTGCCAGGGTCAAAGAAATTGGTCAAATGAGACTGAGACTGCTCCGCAGTTGACTGAGACTGAGTGGAAAGCACTTGACTCTTCAATACCGAAGCCCTCTATAGTCGCAGGTATAACAAAAGTCGAGACATATCTCTATGTGCGCCCTTCGAAACAGCCAACCCAACATGACAGCCCGCAAAAGACTTGAGGCATCTTGAGGCATTCTAGTCCGGGTCACTGGAATTTGTTGGCTTGTAATCACTATATGACAATCCTTTTCGTGCAGGTTGCCTGCCTGATGAGCAAACAGGATTTGGGTGAGCTATTGTATGTACGTAACAAAGGCACTTCAACTGCATTTGGGACATCAGGACACGGTGGAACCTGGCACCCGGCCGACCTGGCCTAGTCCTTCTCTCCAAACCAAGCGGAAACAAACACAAACAATGCAGTACAAACACTATGATATACAACGCTCGAATCAACAGTGGCTGAGTATAAGGATAGTAGTGATAGTAGGCTCATTGATAAGGGACCAGAACTTTCAACATATACTCAATGACTTTTTCAACTCCACCGCTACGCAGCAATACATGGAGTTCAACTGTAGCAATCATTCCGCCAACTACCCCCGCACCCGTTCCCCCGCCATGAAGAAGTACAGTATGACATCGTCATTGCATGAAACCTAAAATGTGCCTTTTGGTGGTGAACACGAATGCTTTGGTGGGATTGGTGAGGTATATAGCCCCAAATATCAGGCGCATGCTCTTATAATACTCTGTTGGGAGGCTGGACAAATTCAAACATCGACTTCGCTCGGCCCAGCAACACTCCGACCGCTCCACGTCCAGCATGGCTGACTGGCCGACTTCATCCTGTCCAGCAGGCGCCGGGAGTTGGTGAATGGAGATGACCCAAGCCAGGGTATGGATAGAAACAGTGGAATGTAGTAATAATACCCCCGTCCAAAAGTTGTCAACCCCCTGTGTTGTCGAGAAACATATATTTTCCGTGTCTTTCTTACTTCCATGATTGTTAGAGGGAGAGTATCAACCGTGGCTTCAGGCTTCGAATTTCATGGCCCAGTGCACCAACTGTGCCTCTCTGGAGCTTTCCTTCAACTCCTGCTCTTTGTCCTGAAAGGTCAGATGAGCACTGGTTTCTGACCAGTGGCTGAAAATACATGAGCCAGAAAAAGAAATAGCAAAGCTGCTCTGACCATCTCTGACCTCTATTTATTTGCGGTTCATTGTCTTCATCCCTCACAGGCGCGGTTTGCAGCAGCGCCTGGTCAGGCACCACTGGTGCAGCAGCTGCACAGGTCGCGATCGTAGGCGTCTTTGGTGAACTAGATGCGGCTGTGCCTGGCAGTCCCAAAAGTCCAATGAGATAGCTCGGCAGTTGACTCAGGCCCGACCCTGACTGAGCTCCCAAGCCGTGGCTCTTCGCTTGATCTTACCCAATCCAGATGCACCCAACACGACTGCCCAAATCTTTATACTGTAATGGGTAATGGGTGACACTGTTGTGAGCTATTGATGGAATAAATGTTCGCTACCAACAGCTTGGAACACCCTGGCAAACATTCTCCATGGTATAGGCTGGGTGGGTGAGTTATTTATCTTTATTTTATTTATCATCCACTCAACAATACTCAACATGATAACACCTTCGCTCCGAAAACAAAAGATGATTGAACCATATTGAACCCACGTTTGAATCTCTTTAACCAAACATGTGGTGTAATTCCACATGAAGAAACTGCTGTAAGGCGACGAAAACGCTGCACACCAGCGCACCTCCTCGCAACTTGGCCACATCCTGATGCTTGTGGGGTGGGGGGCAGTGGCAGCGTTGCTTTGTTTGCACTGCTCTGTTCGCAAGACATGAGCGAGTCAAGAGAGAACGATTCACCGGGACAATCCTCTCGGCTTTGGTTCTGAGAGATGCAGTTCATTGCAATAAGTTCCGTCTCCTCCGGATTCGTTGGTTCGTCTTCTTGCTCTCTTTTTCTTTTGTCTGCCTGCAACTTTGGCAAATGCGCTGGAAGCTGCCGTTCAGCTTGTGATCACGTGATCGTGGGTATACGGGATGCAATATGAGCCAGTTCCTTTCTGAAACTCAGTATATATAGACCTAAGTAGACCATTATTCGCCTCAAACCATGACTCCTACTGAGGAAAACATCAACAATGGCAGCATAAACAGGAAAACCACCGAGGAAGTCGGCTTCAGTCCCCTTCCACCTTCCGCCGGTGGAAGGTACAGACGAATGACCGAATCATATCACAACGAAGCTGCATTGTTTGAGATCATAAGCATATTCCGACTGACTTGCGCAAGAGACCTGCCAAGAGAAACAATAACTAGTATACAAGCGATTTGGCGTACGGTATGTGTATGTGTGTGAAGATTGCTTTTCAGGGTCATGACAACTAACAGATTGCAAGAAATCCTAGTTCCTAGTGGCCTTATTGGAACATTAAGTACACACAACTAGCGCACTCCATGCTCTTCACATGGACAATTCACAATGCGTGCCCTTGGAAGACTATATGCTTCGCTACTAACCGCTACTACAAAAGGAGTTGCTGAGAGTGTCCAGGATTGTGAAAAACAGAAGCTAAAACCGATCAAATTCACGCGTAATTACAGTACTAAGCAGATTCCTGTTTGCCAGCGCTTGATGTCACTGCCCAAGTCAGCTGGAACCGCCACAAAGCCTCCAACCCGCCTTCGAGCGGGATTGATGGGAGCTCCTGCTACGCCTCTGGCAATCGCATTGACCACGAAACATCGGACAGTTAATCCTGTCCGGTCTGGTGAACCTGTCAATGGAAATAACAAAAATTACCTGTCAATTACCTGTTAGTTAATTGATTAATTCCGGTCATGGTCATTCATTATTATCACTGGCTACTTTAGTCAATTAATCTCGGCCAGTTCCAGTCGAACAGACATCGGAAGGAGTTGAATCACATTTGGTCTGGCCAATGGATGCCTCGGGTCTGCACCTGACCGAATATCCTAGGCAAACGAAGGCTTACACCACAAATCCAATTAACTTCCCACGCGGCTGCAAGCAGCGTTTCCATACTACGTCGCGTGTGTTTTTCTCAAACAAGCAACATCAAGCAATATGTCAAAAGTAGTTTGAAAGGCATCCTTCGCTTGTTTCGCACTTCAGTTTGTTTGAGTCCCACTCGCTGTTGTGAACTCGGAGCTCCTTTTGACACGAACGGTCCGTTCTGAACGTCACGGTGCCCCGCGACCCGGCCTTCGTTGCTTGACCCGCTGTATCGAGACGCGCACCGAGCCGCGGATCCAACTGGATTCTTCCTCGGATGTGTTTTGGGCAACGCAAAGGCAAAGGACAGCCCATGGGCCATCATGGGACTGGAATAGTTACCACAATTTACTGTTGTCCATGCATAGACCAAACTCTTCCACAATACATGGGTTGTGGAATAGTGTTGGGCAGTGCCAACAATGTCGCAGTTTGCCGAAGACTCCAGTATCTGTGACTGTGAGTTCGTATCTTTGCCAAGAATGGGCCTCTACCCACCTCACCTTGAGTCCAAACTCTGAAGATTGTCTTCTCCTGGTCAACTCACTTCAAGGAATTGGGACGGCCTGGACAACTTTTCGGCGCCAAGTCTCCGGTCGCCGTGCCCGCCCGGAGCGCTGACCGACACGGTCCTGGACACGGTCCACCGGAACAGTCTGAATCCATAGCCGTTGGAAATGACAGTTTGTTCATGAGGAAGTGACAGTTCAGATGTGTTTGACTTGGTTATTGTTTAAATTTCATTGGGCTCTGGAAACCATATTTGTATATGAAACCTGTTTGCTAACTCAAGGTTTTCCTAATATCAACCATTTCCAGGTGGCAACAAGTCTCAATGAATAATGTGTTTATCCATGTTTATCCTCTTTGTTGTTTTCTCCTGGAGCCTTCATTCCTTGCAGTGCTGGACCCCTTTCCTTGCTCACAGAAGTCTGGACCTCAGCTTTACTTGGGAGAAAGGAATGATAAACTGAACTACGTAAAAACTCTCGCGCATGCATTGACTTGCATTTCATGTTTTGAGTCCTGGGTTCCAAAAATAACTAATGCCAAGGCACTGAAGGATCAGCATCTTCTGCAGCTTCTTCGGCTGCAGCTGCTGCAGCTTC